GGTAAACAAAAATATTCAAGTACCACTATAAATATTATCGGAAAAGCTACTATGCTCCCCACGTTTTACTTCTCCTCTGCCGTTCTTCATACCGCGTAGCCAGCACTGCGTCCGGCTTGGAACAAACGATTCCGTGGGGTCACTGGATTAATCCATCACGGTCTCCGGAGATATAATCACACTTCAAGGTTGCCCGATGGTGTTGTCCTGACGCGTCGCCGTACACATTCGTTGTTTGACCCTGTCATCAAAGTTGACGATATCAGCCACCAGGACAGGGAATGGACCATTTATACGCACAATGAGTCGCTTTCTCACGCCATCCAAGGTTGCATTGCTATGTCTGATCTCCATCTACACGGAAGGGGTCATCCCCAATTCATCTGCTGTCCATGTTCTCTCATTCTTGGTCGCGTCTTTAAGTCCACTGGAAACTGACCCAAGCGCCTCCCCCAAGCACTGGGAGGCACAATACTCAGCATCCATAACTGACCTCGAAGGAGCTTTGTCTACACATACATCTTCAATCCCTGGACGCTCAATCTGGGATTTGTTTCTCAAAAAAGTTTGGTCTATTGATTCATGCGATGCACTGGAAGTATTCTTCTCTAATGTGTTAGATCTGTTGGTCAAATCTCGGGAGGAGCAGATTCGCGATAGGGATAACGGCCTGGCTCCGGAGCTGGGATGTATGCGCCTTTCCCGGTGTTCACCGCTGGGTGCATTTGTGAGGCGAGCCCAACTCGAGTTTACAAGACTGCAGTTCCATGACTCGGTCAAGCTCTGGAAGGGCTTTGTCAAGTATCGTCTCCCCACATACCACGCTTGGGCCAGACGGAATCCGTCTGGTGAACAGGCCATGGTTGATATCAATTTACTTGAGCTTGGCTTGGACACCGGTAGTCAACTTGCTCAGGTGGCGTATGGTACTATCGAGGACGACTTGAAGGAGGATAACCATGTCAGTACGAAAGATGTAGAGCGCTTGCTGGAATTTCAAATAGGCGAGTTGCAAAGTATGCGATCCCTTTTTGCCAATGATAGTCGTTTCTAACGATTCCAGGAATGGGGGGAAGAGTGCCAGATGGCATGAAAGCATGCCTGGAACGCATCATTACATCTGGAGTGACACTGCCGAATTTAATACACTACTTAAGGTGAGAACTACATCATGCTCAACGGTCATGGGTACTAATTGTCTAGATTCTTGGACGCTTGGAGGGCTGGCGATTACCCATCATCCTTTGACAACCTCCACCGTTACTTCGACTATACAATGCACAGTAGAGACCGGAGCTCATATCAGTACGCATTGCTAAATCTTGCTATCCTCCAAGCGGACTTTGGCTGTTATGGAGAAGCCGTATCCGCGATGCAAGAGGCAGTCTCGATTGCCCGAGAATCTCACGATATGAACTGCCTAAACTTCTGCATGAGCTGGCTATACCACTTTGGAAAAGCTTTCCCAGAGCAGATGAAGGACGTTCAAAATACGGGCATGCTTGGGAATGAGAAAGAAGGCCTAGCCTTTCTCAAGGCCAAAGCAAAGGAGACAGAAATGTGGAGTCTCTTGAGTACAACGCTACTGAGTGAAGCTAAACTCGAACTGCAAAATGTATGTTCTTTCTCTCTCTCTCTCTCTCTCTGTGTTAGCTCCCCTGACTTGCCTTAGGGCGAGAGCCTTGCCTCTTCCATCGAGAACATAATCCGAGCATCGCACCTCAATGTAGCAAAAAACCTTATAAATTCAACCGGACCGCAGTTGTTATTACAAACTGCGCTTTATGCTAGGATCGGTATTACTGCTTCTGAAATGAAAGCATAATTCTTGCTAATGGTCAACAGGTATCACACACCTGGCATGGTTGAGCAGTGAAACTTTCCAGGAGTGTTACGCAAGTAAAGCACCGTTTGAAGACTATCTGAAGAGTAACTTCCGTAGCTCACAATTGGTACGCAGATATCACCTGCATTTGTGACTGTCGTTGCTGACCCCCCGAAGCTCGCACAACAAGGTCGTTTCAAAGAGGCCTCGGTTCGTATGAATCACATAGGGCCTGACAAATTACGTTCATTGAAAGCAAATCAATACTGGACATTCTTTTCCGGAGTGTTGCAGCTTAAACGAGAAATATATCGGTATGTTAGTCGACTTGATAACTGTCCTTCGTATCTCTAATATCCCTCAGCAATGACAAAACGGCAACAGAATATCTCCTCTCGCAGCTCCAAGCAATACAACTCCCGGATAATGATATAGCAGCCCTTCTGGGGTTTCTCCACGTTGAGTACTTAATCCGACAGGGCAACTACACCCGCGCATTGGAGATTGTCGAACGCACAGCCCAAACCATCCACCGAGACAACTTCGACGTCCACTGTCAAGTCAAGCTATTGTGTCTAAAGGCTTGTATACTTGAGAAGACCTCTCAGCCCCAACGTGGATTTTCCTTGGCAATGAGAGCTGCCAACATTGCCTACCGATCAAGACTGCTCCCTGGCCTTTGGGAAGCTATCTGCGCTCTGTCAGGAGTCCTTCTCAGCCTGAGGGAATTTGAAGCGGTCGCGGCAATGGTGGAGAGTATAATGCCTCAAATACTTGAGTCCAGCGACTGTGTCCTGGCAGCCCGGGCATACTCTCTTCTAGTGGATGCAAACATGGGCATTGCGGGGAAGGCCCGGAGTCAGGGATCGGGACAAAACGTCGAGTACATGAACCGAGCGTTGGAATACCTAGATTGCGCTTACGACCAATATGAAAAGATCGGGGATATCAAAGGGCAGTGCGAGATGATGGCGAAAAAGGCTACAGTTATGCACTTGACTGGTGATTTGGTTCTTGCGAATGATTATGCCGCGAAGTACCTGGATTTGAAGCGGCTCAATGGTACTGATAGGTGACGAAGTGCTAGTTTGGACGGCTCGGGGTTACCGCCGAGACGACCTGAAAACCCAAATGATACATGTCTTCGATTTCTGACAAGAACGACTAATTCAACACCTGCACTATGGCAAAACTCTTTAATTGTCAACAGCTCCCACCACTCTCCGTTCAATCTTCTGCTCCTTGCAGTAAATATACACTTCCTTCATCGTCGCAAGTTCCGAAAACCGCCGGTTGAAGGCTGTAACAACGCCCGTCAAAGGTTTAGGTAGCCTTGTCCTTGTTGTGGTAGTTGACGCTGTCGTTCCAGCTATTCGATTGTTAGCACATGTTCGTAGAAGACATAGTTCTACCTGCGACGACAGAGCCTATCAAGAATTTGATACTCGAGGTAGTTCGCCACGATAAAAAGTGGATGAGAGGCATCTGAAACTTACAAGATGGTCTATACGGGGGCATTTGAGTTAGCAGATAAATTTATATGGAACGGAAGGAGTTTACCTTGTCACCATCTCCAAAGGGGAAGTTCTTCACACGGATATTCTGGTATGGGTATTCCACACGCTCCTCAAGGGGAGGCATGTGCTCCCAGTGCTCCCAATGCTCTTCCCAGAGGTTGTAAGCATTGAGGGAGCCAAGGATGAGGCAAGGAATAACGGCGCTGGTATGGTAAGTATAGGTTGGTATGCGACCCGAGAGGGGCTTAAAATGATCAGGCAATACGCACTAGATAGAGAGCTTGCGCCAGAGATCTAAAGAGGCATTGTGTTAGTATTATGCAAATTCTCCCCACAGACATCAAGTCGAGCTTGGCAGCGAGCCAATTGAATGTACGCACCACTGGTGGAGGCAGCGTGGTGCTTGACAGCCGCTCTCTCACGGTTGAATGCGTTGTCGACCATCCAGGGAAGCTTGGAGTCGGTGCTGTTGAACCGGCGCTGAATGGCAGAGCGAACCGGAGCGGAACGCTGCTGCTGCGCAGAACGCTGAGCCAGACGAAGGATATTGCGTTGAGGGAACATGGTGGTTGCGGCCTGACAGGTCGAAGGTGGACGTCTTCTGCGTTTGAACTGACGGTGGGATTATACGGACGTCGGGCCTTCCGGTTGACGAGGTTTAGCGGCCCCGTGATTCGCTGTCGCTGTTAGTCAGCACCGCGTGATGTCACGATAGTATAAGTCACGTGCGATTCGGGTATAATGCCGAATATGTCCCATACCACTGGACGTCGTACATGTATGTCCGGTAGTACGACACAGCCCTTGCCTTATCTCCGTACTTTAATTTAACTCATATTTATGGTGGTTACGCACATAGCTCCCTTTTGGAGTGCACGCTGAGTCTGCCGTGGACATGTTGATTCCAGACGACAACGGTCAGAATGGGGTTTCGCATTACTACGTGGAACGGTAAGCTTAAACTAGCTATGAAAGACCATACTAGTAATGTTACAAGAAACTGATAATCATGAACAGTCAATGGAATCCGGTATCTTATAGTCTTCTCCGTATACTTACTACCTGCTTTGTACTGAGTCTTCTGTAGAAATCCTTTTGCCTATGAGCCATGGAGAGGCAAGCGGACTTTCGAGGTATGCATTCCCAGCATGCAAGAGTCTAGATGCGTAGGCTGAAATGCAGAAGGCCATGTTTGAGATCCTAGAGGCCGATATTGTTGTCCTTCAGGAAACCAAGATTCAGCGAAAAGATCTCCGAGATGACATGGTCCTGGTGCCTGGATGGGACTGCCACTTCAGTCTACCTAGGTTTAAAAAGGGTTCGTCTCCCCCAGGCCGCATCCACTAACTGAATTCTTACACTACGCAGGTTACTCTGGCGTAGTTATATACACCCGCAATGCGACTTGTGCCCCAATCCGCGCGGAAGAGGGCCTTACAGGTGTACTTTGCCCGCCAAATTCGTCCGTCTCATTCCGGGATCTTCCTCATGACCAGCAGATTGGTGGCTACCCAACCATGGAGCAATTATCAACACTTGAGTTGGATGCAGTTACACTCGACTCGGAGGGCCGTTGTGTCATCCTCGAGTTTCCAGCATTTGTCCTATTTGGGTTATATTGCCCTGCTAATCGAGATGAAAGCCGCGACAGTTTCCGCCAGGGCTTTCTTGACTTAATGGATGCCCGGATTCGAAATCTCGTCGCCATGGGAAAACGGGTTTTTGTTACTGGCGACCTCAATATCTCAAGAGGTGAAATCGATGCAGCACACGCGTCCGAGGCCATTCGTAAAGGCACCATAACAGAAGATGAGTTTATATCCGCACCAGCCCGGCGCTTGTTCAACCAACTGTTGTATAATGGAAAGGTCATCGGGGAGCGAGATAAAGGGAGGGAGCAACCTGCTCTCTTTGATATTTGCAGGTCCTTCCACCCGAATCGCAGGGGCATGTATACTTGTTGGGAGCAGAAGATCAACGCTCGGCCTGGTAACTATGGCTCGAGGATAGACTATGTCTTGTGCAGCTTGAATATGCAAGATTGGTTCTGTGATTCAGGTATTCAAGAGGGGCTCATGGTATGTTGTCGTTCTAAGCTGTTGGAGGATACCAGGGCTGACCAAGGTACAGGGATCGGATCACTGTCCGGTATATGCCACCTTCAATGGCTCCGTGTGTTTAAATGGGCAACAGGTTAACATGCTTGATATCATGAACCCACCCGGAATGTTCGACAATGGTGAACGGCGACAGGATTACACGGCTAAACTTCTCTTGCCTACATCCGGGCGCTTAATACCGGAGTTTGATAAGCGAAGAAGTATCAAAGATATGTTCTCGCGAAAACCAAATAATACCTCGCAGAAACCGCCCATCACTTCAGTGAAGACCACAAGTGCGCCAACCCGGGACCAAGTACATGGAAATGATGCAATAGAGAACTCTCTTGGAGCCAATAACCCATCGCTCCCTATTGCTGACGGCAACCCAGCATCTAAAGGCATCGTTCGTAAACGGTCCGAGAAAAGCGACCCCCCACCCTCAGTCAAGCGTTCGAAATCTTTTCCCACTCAGACCAAAGCAACTTCTGTTTCTGCACAGAGAACTTTGAAGGGCTTCTTCAAGCCTAAAGATTCTATTAGTAGTCAAACAGGTGAAACAGAAACTCCGGATATGCCTCTGAAGGCTATGGAGCGTTCGCTTGACCCCCTTCCCATGTCTTCGACTATATCGCGGCCAGAGGAACAGAAGGATTTACAAAACATAAGCAGCAGTTCAGCCGCTCCAAGGAGCAACATAGACTCGTCCGGGTTAGCGGCATCCTCTGCGGGCCAGGACAGCGAAACAGTCATTGACCCCATTGTCAGCAAGGAAGATTGGTCGAAACTCTTTGCAAAGAAACCAGTTCCAATGTGTGAAGGGCACCAGGAAGCATGCATTAGTCTGTCAACAAAAAAGCCCGGTATTAACTGTGGTCGGTCCTTTTGGATCTGCCCACGACCCTTGGGACCCAGTGGAAATAAAGAAAAAGGAACGCAGTGGCGATGTGCAACTTTTATCTGGGCTAGTGACTGGAATCCCTGACATTGAACCCGTTGACCTTACATGGAGTATAATCATTTTCCGGGATTTAGATGATACCCTTTGTATCCATTGCTTATACAACATTAACTGGCATAGTTCAATATAAGAGACTTGACTGCTTCCAGCCACTGCACAGTACCATTATAATGCTATCTGGTCACTTTTCTATTAAAAGCCAACAAGAATGCTTTCGTAGTATGCACAAAGGAAATCTACCCCAATCTCAACCCGGACGCCGGAGAAGTAATTAGTTCAGGCTTCTAAACTGGAGAGGAGCGAAGTCTGGTACATTATAATTCCCGCTCGAGGGATCTAGGAGCAGCTCGGTCGAATTTTATTTTCGTATCCTTTTAGTTACTACAAAGTCAGCGTACCAACTGCAGTCGACTCGCATAAACAGCCAAAGTAGGTGGTGTCACGCAAAGTTGAAAGCAAAAGACAAAATAGTACGTTTTGGAACACACCAGCTCAATGGGAAGTAGGACTTGAATATATTAGGTTGCAATAGGCAACGAAGAATATGTAAGTATACTGGTAAGTGAACGGAACGTGCATAAAGACAAGCAAGGACGAGGTAATCAACAATTAAGGATTTTGAGTAAAGAGAACGAGCGAAAAAAATTCTCACAGCCTGAGCAAGAATAAAGTGGTTTTTGCGGCGATAGCCAGCAATGTACTCATAGAAACCGAGTGACTCAGGCCCAGGTTGCTGATGGAATTAGTTCCTCGAAATTAAAGCTATACGAGTCCGCCAACGTTGTAAATGCAATTGAGGAAGCATAAATCTCAAGGTGCTCTAGTCAGCCTTGGGATCTTATTTGCCATAGAAGTGATTGAGGAATAGCAACATAACGAAGCCAGGTAATCTGATTATGCGCCCCATCAACCCAAATCTCCACCATCTTTATTCAAAGGTACACCGGGAGAATGAGGGCATTTGTCGCGGCCATAAGGATCTAAGTCGCTTGCTCGGATTTTATCACTGGCTTTGTGAATATTGAGCTTAGATACGCATAACTTATAGGTTTTCGGAAGGGGGTCGAATGATTACCTGCATACCTTTTTGGAAATCCTAAACCCAGCCCGCAAAACTACACTTTGACATCTTTGGACTCGTTCTTTGACTAATTCTCTAAAAGTTTTGCTGATGTCATTGTTGTGTTAGCATTAGGAGAACACAAGTGAAAATCTCCAGTGAATGTCTGTCAAGAGGAATAGAGTATGTACTATGTGTTATATTCTATTTGTGCTGCTTGCAGAACAGTAAGTACGGCCCAAATGTACAAGAAGTTGGAAATTATATAGGTTTGAGTTATATATCTTTCGCCTGCCTATATACAGTATTTTGGCATCAAATTGTCCAATTCGGAGAATCAATTTCAAGCTCAGCGCTTCCAATGTACTAGACATTTATTGGTTATGTTTATGGCGCATGGACAGGCTTCTTGAAGTGGCAAAAGTCAACACCAGCCCATTAAGTGAGTGAATGTACCATCGGAGGTCTCAGTTGACTGAGCCGTAAGGAATTTCTTTGTTTACCCAGCCCCCTAAACTCACTAAGCCTTCCTTTGTCGAAGACTAACACAGAGCATTTCTTGTCTTTCGCCCTATTTTCCTTTTCGTCTTTCTATTCTTCAGTTCCATACTATCAAAATCTTGAGAACCCAGGCCACTTTTCCGATGTCCAGATTCTCCTCCATTACTTGTGCCGCTCCCAGTTGACAAGGTACCGCTTCATAGTCTGACTTCGATTCCAGGATTTCGGGGTTTCCGTCAGGATGGAAACCACAATGTCTCCCCTCCAGCGTGCGTTCAACGCATTCTTGATGACCATGCCACCCGAGCAGTTGGAGGAGCTGCTCAAGTACCTCCAGGACGTAAAAGCTCAGGAAAATTCTCAGTCTTCATATCCGAACGAAAAATTTCAATCTTGCTTGGAGTTCAAGGCCGACAAAAGTCATGGATCTACCACCTGCGAGTTCTAACACACGGTCCTCAGTTTCGCGGGGGAAGCGAGCCTCAGATGCAAAACGAAGGCCGCTCAATAGTTTCATTGCCTTTAGAAGTGAGTGTCCTTGCATTATAATCGGGCGAATTCCACAATTTAACAATACTAGGTTATTACTCCGTCATGTTCCCTGACCTCACTCAGAAGGCGAAGTCGGGCATTCTTCGCTTCCTGTGGCAGAACGACCCATTCAAAGCCAAATGGGCAATCCTTGCCAAAGCCTACTCCATTATTCGCGATGACCACGATAGTGATGTTTCCCTGGAATCTTTTCTGGGTTTGAATGCGCAATTCATTGGTATAATTGGACCAAGTCGCTATCTTGAAGTTATGGGCTGGCAACTGGATGTCGACGATCAACAGCAATATACTATAGCTAGGGTTAAAGCGACGACGGCAAATGAAGCCGATATTTCGACCAACTATTCTGTCAATGATATAGTTAAACATTGCTACACCAGTGGCTATGTTTCTGAAAAAATCGGAAGAGCAAGGCAAGCAATAACAACAGTGCGCCAGTTATGGCTTTTGCTGCCCAGCCGACTTTGGTTGTCCACAAGGATGACAGCATCCGGATCTCTGGCAACCATACTATTGTAACTGATGTTTGCAAAACAAATCCGGCTATGGAAATATCATCACCAGAGCAAACCGAAGATACATTTTCGCCAAACACTAGTGACTTGAGCACAATTGCTGATGAACCTCCGCTCGATGCAATGGAAGTAGTTGGTATCTGCAGCCGCCCTCAACTTTTCCCGGAGTCAAGTACGGCGAATGGTTTCGATTTGGATAACATCCACTTCCCAGGTTGGAATGAGGAGAACGCAATGTTCACTTACGACGCTGCACTGCATACGCCACTGATGCCCTATGACCCGCTGCACTATGATCCGCTGGATGGCTATGACTTCTCTAGATTCGTCGATATTTGAATCGCGAATAACTCAGGCCAACTGCTCTTTCCTTCTTTCCTCATATTTCCTGCATCGAAGCTAAATATCCACCAACGCGACCTGATTCCACAAAGCCACCTGAAACCCCAGCGTAAATATTCAGCATTTGCTTTTAGCCTCCACATCGATGGCACTTACAGTCAGCCAGAGCTGTCCAAGGAACCGATGCTATTGAAGGTGGGTGCGGTCTTTGTTGTAGCGGCGAAGAAAGCCGCAATGAGACAAGCATTCGACGCATCCTCCGGTTCCTTCATTCATGGGCGACGCTTTTTTTACTGCTCTCCCATAGGTCTTTGTTCATTTTCTTTCTCTTTCCCGGTTCGTACATATCCAGTCCACGATTGATATCCTTGCATGATCTTGATTTGATACCAGACACGACTTTCCTTGACTGCTCCGTTTTTCCCTGCATTGAACATTTTTCTTGTAATTTACTCCTTCACAGATTGTATTTTACCACTGATTTCTGAATTCTTCTTTTCTTATTCTGCTTTCTGTTTCTGTTTCTTTACATTACGTTGTTCATCAAGTTCCTAGCGAACGTCCGGGGAAACGAACACCGGAATTTGCTCATTCGGGGGTTGATTAGGGTTTCACCCAGCAAACGCCGTTGACCGGCTGACTTGGTGCTCGCTTCGGATCGGGCCAATTGCATGTATTTAGATCACTAGATCACTGAACCAGATATATGTACACTTCAGACAAAAAATAAAAGAGAAAGAGAAAGCCCCGAAGCGAGGAGTAGAATTTGGGTAGCATACAATGAAGAAAAAGTCCCCATTCGGTCTAGACTGTAGACAACACCAAGGGATCGAATCGGAAGGCACGGACAGATGGTGCAACACAAAGAAATCCAAATTTAAAAAAGGACCAACTTAAGGTTTTCCACTAGGCCGTGGGCGGAACCCGCAGCCGAAGCGTCGGGTGGACGTCATTTGTCGTTTGCTTCTTCCTCTTGAAGTTTGTTCCATGGAGGAGACAACGGAAACAAAGAAATCGAATCGGTTGTTTTGACCCCGGCTCAATTTGCCAAGATGACCTTCCTCGAATGAAACCATATCAGTCAGCCATGAACTGGTGTTCCTTGGGTGTCATCCCGTGGCGGCGTTTGCATTTCTTTCTTGTCGGGGTCCATGTGCTACGCTTTATCCTACAAGGGAAGGTGTAGGGCGGGGAAAGGAAACTTCAAGTGGATTGCTTCTACTGGTATATACTATCCAAAACGGACACAAGAAAAATGGCCTACAACGAAGGAGAATGGGTAAAAATTATAAAAAAGGATTAAGACAAAGGGGGTCAAGGGGGTAAGGAACGGTGCAACCCCGTGCCTCCCAACAAAGGATAAGCTTCGTCTGCGACAGCCACGCACAACATACATCCCCACCCTTGAATCTGTGTAGCCTCACTAGCACACCATATCCGCTTGACATCTTTGTCCAACGCGGGGCAAACCCCTCGGATATCCTGTCATTCAGTCCTCCTGGTACGAGATCTTGCGCATCTCTCCCAGACGTTGCCGCGCCTGGGCAAGGCTATTCTCCAGTTGGAGAATCTCAACCTGTAATCAACACCCGTCAGCATCCACACCGATCCGTGGAGGAAGGTAGAGAATTGGTCCCCCGGCGGAGGGTTAGAGAGAGGGGGGAAAGCAAGACGTACCTGTTGCTCCATTTCGCGCACCTTGAATTCGTGCGAGCTAAGCTTGGCGTAGTCAACTTTCTCCGAACCATCCTGGTTCCGCTCGGCAATGATTTCCTGTACCTGGCGGACCAGAGCCCGACATGCCGCGCCAACAGCTTTACTGGCTGCCTCTAAGCGATCTTGGGTCTTGCTCATGAACGACGCTTTGACGCGACTGGCCGCCACCAGCTGTGCCGTACTAGCGGCCACGTCGTTACTGGCCACGATCAGTTGTTCCGGAGAGTTACGACCAGAAATGACCCCGTCGGCCGTCTCGATAAGAGTGTTGGTGGAGGTAGCAACAGCCTTGGCGGCGGAGATTAGTCCCTCTGTCCAGCGGTTATTCTTCTTGTAGAACGCCGTCTTCGATGAGCTACCCCGGCCTTCGCGAACAATCTCCTGCTGGGACTCGGTGGCGGCCTTAATCAGCTCCGCAATTGCATTGGTAACTGCAATAGCTGCCTCCACAATCACGTCGTTGATACGTAACTCGTATGTCGAGAAGCCATCACGGGGCTTTTTCTTGAGTTTGGCCAATCGAGCGGCCGCGGCGTCGATAGCGTCGGCCGCCTTAGTCAGTTCCTGATCTACGAGGTCGCCCAGGTCGCCATTAGTGCTGATCTTGGTACTCTTAGGCGCAAAAGTTTCGGCAAGTTTCGATAGTGACTGCAGGTCTCTTTGCACCTCAAGGTTGTTGTTAATAACCACATCGGTCTTGTGATCAGCCTCCAACCCCTCGAGCCGGAAAGACTGGAGTCCACGGAAGAACCGCACCGTGGCCTGTGCGGACTTGCGGGCAGCATTGATCAATTGGTCTGCGCTCTTGTCGTCATTGGCGAACCGTGTCAATCCCTTTGTGTTACTAAGGACATCGGCAACCGAGCCGGAGAAGATAGAAACCGTCCGAATAATCTCTGCGTGGGTACTATTCGGGCCGTCGGCGATAAAGTTGTTGAACGCTGTAGAGAACTCGGTGGCGGATGCAGAGGCCTTCTCGATCTGAGACAGCACGTATGGTGGGGACGCATTCTGGTTACCGGCTTGCATACTGGAATCGAGCTCGTACAGGGCGTCATCCACCCGCTGCACACCAGCTTGGAGCACAGAGTCGATGATGTCGTTGATCTTGGCAACGGTGCTGTGCAAAACGGTGTCAATCTGCGAATCCAGCGCATTGTCGACATCGCCTTGGTTCTGGTAGCAGTTAGCTCGCATCCTCCTGTCCCCGCTATTTACCCATTCAAGTACATACCATTTTCAGTTCCTCCAGTTCCATAAGAGCTTGTTCCATTCCGGACTTGTAGACCTCGATCTCCTCATCCTTCTCGCGGAGCATAGCATCATGGTCACCCTGGCGGTCTGCATTCCGAGAAGAGACATCTTCGAGAGCACGGTTCTTGTTCTATCTCTGGTCAATGCCTGGAATTCTGTTTCTTACCCTGCGACAAGACTTACTCTGAGGGCTTCTTCCAAATCGGCCATCTCCCGGTTGTACTTGGACAACAGGGTAGAGATCTCGGTGCCTTTCTGGCGTTCGGCATTCTCTGCCCGCTCGATTGCAAGGCGCAGCTCTCTCTTAACCTTCTCCAGCTCTTCCTTGTTGTTTCCCGTCAAGCGATCCCGGTCGTGTAGCGCACGGTCCCGCTCCCGGATCATATCCGCTAGCTCTAAATTCTTCGTTTTGAGCTCTCTTTCGAGCTTCTCGCGCCGTTCGATCGCCTCCTGTGCGGACGCCGCCTTTAACTTCAGGCTCTTGGTTGTCTGCAAGAGGTCTAGGTGCTCCTGTCGGAGCTGAGAGTAAAGCTTAGCCAGCGCCTCATACTTGGACCGCCATGTGTTGACTTGCTCCTGGAGAGATCGAATTTGCTCATCTTTCGAGGCACTTTGCATATTCAAGTTCGAGGTCAATTGGTTCATCTGCTCTTCCAGGTCTTTCACACGACGATCGTATTGCTGCAGCATAAGCTGATCCCGTTCGTACTGGGCCCGCGCGTTCAAGTTCTCTTGCTCGAGCTCGGCCAGCCGACCCTGAGTCTGTGTTTGGTACTGGTCGCGTAGAAGTTGCTCCTGCGCAAGCCGTTGCTGCTCCGCCTGCAGACGTTGCTGTTCCTCAAAATCGTGTTGGGCTTGCTGTTGCGCGAGAATCTGCTGCCGCTGCTGTTCCTCCCATTGCTGCTGCAGGCGTCGCTGCTCCGCTTCAAATTCCTCTTGCTGGCGCTTGGCTTCTGTAGTCCAAAACTCGTTAATGGGTTCGGGATCAGCGGGTGCGGCCTTTGGCGGCGGAGTGGGCTCCTGCTCGACTTCTTTTGCCGGCCGCCTGGGTAAAGCGGGGCGTTCATCATCGTCGGCAAGCAGGTTGGGTGGGTTTTGAGGCAGCTTAGGAATAGTGATAAGGCTGGTCAGATAGCGTAAGTTCGAGCACTCGTAGTAGAACCGAACAAGTCGGAAGTGCTGAGCGTCATAACGACCACGGAGAGGTTCCAGGGCCTCGGCGTCACCAGTGGCTATGCCAAAGTCAGCTTACCTAGACAGAAAGAGGGAAGGTAACGCCTACTCGTATGCATAGCTCTCAGCATGCTGGTAATGAATTTATAAATGCCGTAGCTCTCCTGCACCAGCGGCACTAGTGCAGAAATCCGACACTCGTTATTTGTACCTGATTGGAAATGCGAAAAGATCAATTTCTGGAACGCATCTATTTGGTCTTGCAAAGTCATGAGGTCCGAGATAGTTTCGTAACTAGATTACAGTCAGTGAGAGTAGGACTGAGAGTTATTGGGCGTGCTTACCCTTCATTCGGATCATTGATCGTCTTTAGACTGATGTACTCCTCATATTCAAACAGACCTGCCAAAGACTTAGTCATGGACTGGGTGACTTGAAATTCGTTCCGTCAAATACCGTTAAATTCGGGATGATTCCGATGAAACGCCAACTTGGACTCCAGGAAGAAAACGTATTCTCGGATAAGAGGACCATAGCCTATGCTCCTAGTCAACATCAACCAATTCGAGTGCGTGGTACAACCTGCAAGCTTTGCGTACCGCGAATGCCATCGCCTCCTACACCGCGCATCAAGCTGTCGATCCAATTGGCGTGCTGCTGCGCCTCCCGAATCACGATGGGATGTCCCTCTTGCAGAACCTTATGTATCGTTATGAGGGCTTTGAACGTCTGTACCTCGTCGGCAAGGACCGGTTGACTGGATGCATCGAGAGCGGTCAGAGGTGATATAAAGTACAAAGTCGTGACTGAGAAACATACACTTTCATGCCAGCCCAGAAGGCGGCAGAGGATTTGTGGTCCCATGTATACACAATGCAGCTCCGGACATGTTTCCCTGGTGGAACGGATCAGTGGAGGTAAGGTGACAGCATGAGGACGCGGATAAGACTGAATAGAGACAGGACGATAAGGGAGGGCGATCCATACGTTTCGGAGCGGTCTCCTCTGTTATAGCGCTCAGGTCAGTCACAGGAACCAGGTACCAAAGTGGGAGAGATACTTTGGGCATGAACTTACCGATGCTGGTAGCTTTGCGAATGTTAATCGCCAAATCTGCCTCCGTGCTAGTGATTCAGATCAGTTAGTTATCGTAGAGCTGCAAGTCCCGTCGCCAAGCGTCCCAAAACACCTACCGACTCATTGTGACGAGCTGCAGACCTGTCGATTGTCGGGGGATCAGGGGAGCGGACAACTAGGTGCGGCGGGAGCCGGTGGGCCCGAGTCCGAACAGCGCAATTCGATTGTGCTCTGAGGGGGCGGGGGAAACTTGCGTGGACCGACAACGAAGGGCGATTGAAAGGCCAGTGGAATTACAAAAGAGAACGAGGTGGATGATAATAACACGGAGTGTAGAGGAGGGTTTAAAAGCATTTGTCGAGGAGCATAAATGACGTTTGGCGGGAAAGCTGACGCCTGCAGTTCATCGCGTGTCTTGGCGCGGCTTCGTCACCTCCTGAGTTCCCTCCCCCTCTGATTGGACGTATATATAGATACACTTGCAGTATCCTACGATGCTCGCCCTTTGCCACTACAGGATCTACTTCGATGCCTAGCATATTGCTCTAGGCAGCCCTTTTTTTTAATCATGGAAAGGTAGTGAAAAAATAGAGGTGCAAGACAGCCATGTATTCACCCATATGTCCATCCCCAGGACCAACACTCTAAGTTAACACCGGACTATGATAGAATCGCAAGTTGATCATCGCTCCTTGAACACCATCTGATAATGCCGATCAGATCATATAACTGGCCAGAGGGTATACATAGGATAAACGGCCATGTCGCAACGCGAAGAAGAGGAAGCGAAAGAGAGAGAAAAAAAAAAAGAGAGCATAGGACCCACACTAGCAAGTTGGGCAAGGAAATTGATCATCATAAGCTGAAACCGTCCGCATCAATGCCAAACAGCGTCCAGTTATAATCACATCGCCCTTCACGGAATAATGCCGTCGGTTGCTGATAAGATTGCCATTCCGTGTTTGTCAGCCTCGGTTCCCTCGACCAGGGAGGATCGGTCATGTCCATTTGCTTTCTCCCAAAGATCACTAGACCTTTTCGTAACCACATTGGACGGGGGTGAGTCCCGCTGTGTACTGGGCCCCGGCAAAGCTTTGTCCGGGGCGACATCAACGACCGGACTATTTGGGCCTGAGTCGTAAGGGGCTTCGACAACCAGTAGCTCATCCGGAAGATTCTCCGAGTCCCCTGAGCTGAAGATAGGCTTTCTTCTGGGCAGAGGTGGTTTTGAGACACGCCTCTTGTCGTCTCCTTTGGGCTGCAGCTCAGGAGACGCATTATGCGGGACAGGTTTCCGTTTGGTTACAGGAACAGTGTTCCTCTTGAAAGCAAACGATTCGGGGCGTGGCAATGGGGTGCCTGGGGGCGGAAGAGGATGTCCTCGGCCTATCGGCTCCTCTGGTGTACCTGCAGGTCGGGACGACTCGTGAGTAACGCTATGCTCCCCCTTTCCGAACATATTCCAGCCCCATCTCTTCGCAACAGAAGTTGCTGTGCCCAATGAGAGAGAGACCTGAGACTTTTCCGCGGCAGTGGAAGAAGTCACTGAACGTGCCAGAGTTTCGAGTGTGCTTCGTCTGGGTTTGTTGCCATTCAGTGAGGCGGTGGAACTGGCAGCCATACTTCGAAGAGACGAACTACTCGTTTTATGAACAGCAGAAGGGCGAACAGAAGAGTCGGTGCTAAATTCCCCAACACTCTCAATAGAATCTACTATGGATGGATCTCGGCTCTGAGACGCATTGTCTTGGGGCATATGACTGTCGGTAGGCGGCGAGCCATTGGGTGATCTGTTCGGTGACCCGGGTGGAGAGCGGTTTGATATTTCAATCATGGCACTAGCAGCACTGCTCTTTTCCGCGTCTTTGCCGTCATACACGACTTTGTCGATCTTTGCATTATCTGCTGTAAGCACGGGGTCAGCAGCGTTGGAGAACGTCTGGGATCGAATGGCCCGCGGTGGTGAACTGCCGAATTTCTCACTAGCAGTGTATGACGCGCTTGAGTTATTCCTTTCGAGCTCTCCTTTCGAGCCCTTGCGTGATTTCATCGTGATAGGTATAGACTCAGAAAGCACAGGCGCGCTCATTGTACGTTCGTCTTTCGTTTTTAGCATATCAACAAAATCTCCTTTCTCCGCTCCTGTTGTCTGGGGTTGAGCACCACTTTCGTCTGGTATGTCGACCTTCGTATCCGGCGTCGGGATTTCTCGTTGCCAGATTCCTCCACGGAAACGCTGGGTGGCGGTGTCTAAGAAGGGGATATCATCCCAAAATGGCTGAACCACGCTTTCTGCGACAACCTCTCTTATCCGACTTTCAATAGTGCGTAGGATAATACCGTATGTGATCTGCTTTGAACTGACAATGGGTTGAATATCCATGTCCATGCTTGGCATCGTTTCGAAGGAGATCCAGGCTCGATTGCTCGGAGGAGGCTTGAACCGTATCAACAGATGGCCATGGAGTTTTTTCAACACCACAGCAAGAACAATGTCTACTTCCCTAGCCTTGAAACGAGGTCCAAGGTCAATGCGCACTGTGGCCGAAATCTCCACTCGAAAGTTGCCAGTATACTGAACGTCTGTCTCTACACAGCAATTCCCGTCAACAGTTAGATCTTTGAGCCTTGGGTTGATGATAAATGGTGCCCCTTCGCCCATATCAATCCTTTGTAGGCCAATTTTACTGATGAAGTTCGGCTTGTTAACCCGAGAGATTTTCTTGGTGATCTTTTTTCGGATAAATTCCTCCATCTCCGGCGTTCTATACATGGCAAGAAACAACCTCCCAAGGACCGCATTGATCCACCGCGTCTGCAGCTGTTCTTCGGATGAATGCAATCGTTGAACAAGGGTGACGATATGCTTAACATCGAAAGGCTGATGCTTGGGAGGGGAGTCGGGCGAGTTCCGCATCCTGGATTGGTTCTGGAGCATAGCAAAATAGAAGTCTTCCTTTTCGGACAGATTTTCCGAGAAAAGAAAGAATGGGGGCGTTGGTCCCCCTAAATCTGCGAGAGACTCCAGTCGTCGTGAAAGACAGATAGCATTTCTCTTCAGCCACAGCTCGCCTTCCTGGATTTCCCCTTCACCACCACAGATATTTACGTCATGGTGCGCGAGGGAGATAACATATCGCACCTCAACCTGGTTAGCATCGTCGTAAAGCATCAAATGACCATGTCTATGCTCCGTACAATGATGATCAGCACCCGCAAAGGACCTAGAGGCGAGGAAAGGGATAATTACCGCAGGACAATATAAAATACATTGCGTGCCCTCTTGCCGCTTTTCCCATTATTCTTGGCTGGCTCAATCGTTGGCGTTTGCTTCCGATCAAACAAGCTTCTATACATCGTCTGGTAGACGCTTGGGCTCTCCGCGGCGATCACCTCGCCCGCCGGCGTGGTTCTCTCGGGTGGTTTTCCATTGACTCCACCGGGCACATATTCGCGACATACGGCAAAATAGCCAGCCGCAACATCCGACTCGTGCGTACGATGGAACTTTTCTGCTAGCTCATCCGTGCCGGATTTCAGGCTGTATTGGTCGTCCCCGGGGCGCCGCAGAGGATCCTTGGCCAGTTCGCATCTGTGCTCGACTGGCGGAGGCGACGGGAGGGTAAAATAAGCATGCAGAAGGACTAACGACAGGACCAGTGGAATGAAAGTCAGTCCGCCGAGGATGTATACAAAGAGGAAGCTGCCGAGGGAACCCATTAGGAGCCGGTCAATCAAAATAGTAACATCGAAAGGTCCATCATGAGGATATGACGGAAACGGAGAAGCTGTGGAGGCACCGAACCAGACCAAGCCTTGACCAGTAGAACTGGTAAAAAGGTATATGGTAAAGAGAGAGAGACGAAAGGGAGACGCTGTATGGGAAAGGACACGATATGAGAAAAAGGTAAGAAGAGAGTGTGAGAGCAGAGGTAAAGCGGACAGTACCTCACTCGTATGGAAATCAACCAATACCATCCCCTTACCTCACCACATTACAGTTACAAGGCGGCCGATCCTATGACGAAGTGCGGGTGGATCCCTGGAACAAAGTTGCCCCGCCGATGTCGTTTGTCTCGCTCCACTTGCATGCAACCGTTCTTGCCTTATACTACTGTCCAAGAAGTTGTCTGCATCTTTGTTCCTTTCAACTAGCACATGACTGCGGTACTGACAGTACACGATTTGTATTGTTTGTATGTACTTCAGAGTGTGGCAGTAGTGGTCCTAGCAGGTAGCATTAACGCCGATAGTACGACCAAGTAATATTTTTGAAACTTCCTAACTGCAACCCTGATGTATCAACGTGGTATCACGCTCAGTCAGATGACCTTATGGGTCAGTTTTACCCACATCTTACTAACGACCCTAAGTTGACTTATATGACCTTAGGAGGAACAATCCACTTTTATATCTAGATATATTTACATTTCATTCATCTTAAAAACAATGGGCCCTCTCCCAGACATCTATGACACTTGCGTACTGTCATTGAATCCAACAGACGCGTCAAGTATGAAGAAAAGAGAGACAAATAGTCAATGGTACAAAAACAACTGTAGTGATACAAAGGACATCAACTGGGACGTCGATATAGAAAGTCCAGCCCGGTATATGGCTACGGTTGGCGCAACGATACCTAGGCATCCAACCCACCGCGATGTCAGGCGCCTACTTCCTCCGATTCATCGTCTTCTCACACATTTGAAGGAGGCCATCTTTGGCTTCGCTGTCCGGGAAGCTGCTAATAGCGGCCTTGGCCTTATCAGCATACTCCTGAGCTAAATCACGAGTCTTTTCGACACCGTTACTTTGATAAACAAGGTCACGGGCCTATAGGTCAATCATCGTCAGTCACATACGTCCAATACTTCACATTAGATTCCAGAACACATACCCGTTGAACATCGCCTTCCTGACTGAACTTCCGGCCAACTAGCGGTCCCAGCTCAGGGTTCTGCTTCCAAGCGAACAGAAGCGGGGCAGTCGCCAGACCCAGCTCCAAGTCCGCTCCTGATGGCTTGCCCAACTCAGCATCACTAACGGTGTAGTCCAGCATGTCATCCACTAGCTGAAACGCCAGTCCCAGGTTGCGCCCATAGGCATACGCAGCTTCGACGACCTGAGGGGTGCTATCACCAAGCAGCGCAGCCGCACGGCACGATTTACTTATCAAGCTGGCTGTCTTAAGATATGTTTTCTGCAGGTAGTAAGAGATGGTCTCATCCGTAAAGACAGGATTCTTTTCGTCAGAGGCGGTATTCTTCAGTTGCATAAACTCCCCCTCCACTAAATTAGCAATGACGGTTGCCAGGAGCTCGGTGACTTCAGGGTCCCTCAGACGTGCCAGAGCAACGGATGCACGCCCCAACAGAAAGTCACCCGCTAGCACGGCCATCTTGTTTCCGAATTGCAGATTAGCGGAGCTGGATGACCGGCGAGTAACAGCATTATCGATGACATCATCGTGCAATAACGATGCGGTATGAATGAGTTCTGTGATTTCGGCGAGTCGTCGTTGAGTGGGCAGGATATTTTCGTCGCCAGAGAAGTCGTATTTGCCTTCCACGGAAGCCGATACAAGTGGGTTTAAATCAGGGTTGGTATCCGCAAGGACGGACGGGGAGCTGATAGGATCGTTCACAGTATAGGACGGTGTAGAGCTCCATCGACCGTGCCGAGGAGTCAGCGCAGTTGCTTGGGACATAAGCAACACCAAAAGCGGACGCATGTGCTTGCCCTCGCTCTTGGTGTAATATTTGGCCACCTTATCCAGCGTAGGGTGGCCTGATCCCAGCAATTGGCGAATGTTCTTCGTCAAAAATTTGAGCTCCTTGCCCACAATCCTCAAGGGATCCACTGAAATCCCTGGAGGAGCTTTTGGAAGCCCTTTGAAGAGAGTCTGGGCGGCAGTGACGGCGGCGCCAAACGGAGAAGCAGATTTCCGGCGGGTAGGATGGTATGCTCGCGTCTGCGAATTTATTTGGATCGAAATAAGGTCATTGCGGAGGCATTGCCAGCATATTGATGTCGAAGGCGTGACTCGTGATGGAAGGACGAGACCAGAGGCCGGGACCGCTCGAGCCTTCATGCTCAACAGACGCTAATTGACAGCAGTAAATTAAATATAGAGTAGGAAATAATAATAACTATAATACAAATGGGGAATGGAAGCTGGAAAGAGCGTAGGTCGAAGCAGGGCGCAGCTTGTTGGGGTGAGAGGCTGCGTAGTTAAGGAAGTCCGCAAATATCAGCCGGCCAAAGATTTCAGTTGAGAGCTGCTGCCGACGGAGTTTGGCTCGGGCCGGAACGGATCGCTGAAAGCAGATACAGCGGCCTTCACATCCGCATCTCCATCATCATGACAGACAAGTCCACTCTGTACCAACGGAGCAAAAGAAAAGATAGAGAGTTAGGCGACAAATTAAAAGAAACCAGAGAAAATCTTAGTCTAAAATATTAACGGGAATTACCAAGATCTCTAGGCCCACATGCCCCCCAAGACCAATATGGACGAGTTGATCGGAGAACAGCTACAAGATGATCGCGCCCTATTGCACAAAGGAAATGGTTTGGTAAGAATATAGGAGACAGGGAACATCACGCCGGCAAAGCTCAATCCTGCATATTCCCCTCCTACGCACCCGAAACAACAGATTTGCAGATAAAACACAATACTTGAAACCCACCCCCGGGCCATCTGGCCCAGTCCCCAACACATGGCAGGATTATACGTCGCCGTGTGATATTTTCGTAAGCATTAGATGGCGTCGAAATCGGCGCCAGCATCCTCATCATCCATATCACCATCCTGGATCTCCTTGGCCAGCTCCCGTTCGCGTTCCCGGGCCTCCTGTGCACTCTTCAGTTCCAGGCGGTGCTGGTTCATGGGAAATCTCATAGCCTATAAGTACATAATGTGAGTAACTGCTCTACCTAGTCCACTGTACAAGGACAGATACAGAGGAATGAGCCAGGGTAAAACTAACCTTGACGCTCTCGTCGTGGAGACTCAGGCAAGCTCTGATGCGCTCGTGGAAAGCCTCGCCAGGTTCCCTAGTCGCATAGATATCTCCAACTTCCTTACTCTTCATAAATCCTCGCTCATGGTCCAGAGTCGCCTCGATCACACCGTCCCGGATCGCCTTAGCGACGATGTACTCTGCTGATTCCTCACTATCCAGACCCAGGCGGAGACAAATGTCCCGCAGGGAGATTCGAGAATAAGATAACGACATCATCCGGATTCCGGTCTTGATAACATTTTGCCTCAAGCGCAGAATGAGGGTGTACGTGCCATCCTTGCGGAATGTCGTACTGTGCGTATTTACGATGCTCAAAAAGCCATCCAGGTCACCTACACTTACGGCTTGGACAAGCAAGAAGTAAGGGTGCATGGCACGTTCCAGAGCAGGCTGACGGAAGATCGCACGGTCGGGGATGTCTCCCATAAGAAGCTCCACCACCACGAGCAACTTATGAGAGGCCTGGTAGAACCCACGCGCACTGTGCTGGAGGGTGACTTTCGAGTAGCGCCGATCAAGTGTCCGTGAGCATCAGTGTACTGTAATTGGATAGCACGGATACGGCCCAGGTAGTACAAGTACCGGGCAATTTGATTGTTCGATGCGGACTGCGGGAAATGGTTGTGCGAGATGAGTAGATCTGCTTGTGAGATATGGGACGTGGACAGGTAGTTGCGCAGGAGCAATGTCATAACGGTAGCTTGGGTGTCAACATCCTTGCGAAGCACGGCCGTCCTGAGAGCTGCAAGCAATGGCTGGCGAATCGTGGTAACCGTGGCTGCAGGAGACGGGGGGAGAGGAGCAATCTGCTCAAAGAAGAGGGAGTAATAAAAATATACGCGAGCGGCGAGGGAATCGAGAGTGCGGCGGTTGATGGTCCGCAGACGCTCGATTAAGCTCGTTGAAAACTTCGCACCTCGCTGAATCTCCTTGTTGTCGTAAAGGTAGATCTGAACAAGTATAGACAGATAAGTATCGATCTCTGGCAAAATCTCTTTGGAATTCGACTTGGTCTTCTCCGATTCGACATCCATCTTGGAACTAGCAACCGCGTTCTCAAAAGCACCGGCTTCACCGATAGCTTCAAGTAAGAAGGATGCAGTCGGACTCGAGGGGGGATAGCTCTCGACAAGGACTTCTGCCAGCACATCAGATGTAATATGCTTGCGCATCGAGGATATCGACCGCAAGACACGGAGGGTAAATCTGGGGTCGAAATGGGCGACGGCTCGCTCGAGAAGGGTAAAGTTGGTCTTGATGTCTAAACGGAAGGCGGGGTCGTTAGCAGGCTCCCATGGAACCGTATACATAGAAGATATACAAGAACACCAACCTTGGATGGCCTTGGCTCTAGGATCAACCTCGGGCTCGGGCTTCTGGGACTCATCGCCCTCCGCACCTTCCATTGCGACATCACCTTCCTGGTCCTGACCTTTATCGCCGGATAACCTCGAACCCTTGGTAGGGGGCACTACAACAGTCATCTTCTCGTCACCTTTCCGATCCTTATTGGCGTTGAATGAGGATGTAGGCGCACCTGCCGTATCCTCTCCCATCTCAACATCCTCAGAGCCATTCAAACCATTTTCCGTCGGCTCCGAGCCGTTGGTGCGTGGCTGATCCCGCTGTTCACCCATGCCGGAGTTCGAAGTGTTGTTGGAAGAAGCGGCTCTTGTGCCTTTGGTCTTACTGGCAGTCGCGCGGGTGGGCGCGACCTTGTCTTTATTGGAGCTTGAGTTTTGAGAAGCCGAGCGTGCCTTTTCACCGTTAGCAGATGAAGAGCTATCCGACTTGCTGTTTGATCTCAAGGAACGCCTCTCGGCCGGCATATTTTCGGTTTCCAGCTGTAAGCTCAGCCGAGCAACGAGAACCACGGTACCGGGAACAGAAGAAGGGGGGTGATGAAATAGACCTTAGGTCGGGGACGACACTAAAAAGTACTTGAGGAAAACAAAAGAATTAGGGGGATGCGGACAGGAGAATGGTGGAACGGTGAGGATGATGAAGGGTGGTGATCGTTGGGGGTGGGAAGAAGGTTGATGAGGTGGTTGATGTGATGTCAAGGGTTGGGCTTGGATGATGATGATGGACAGCGAGAGAACCAACCAGGCTTAGTCAGTATCAGCAAGCTTAGTTAACGACCTCAGAAGCAGCAGGTCACCTGCACAAGGTACAAGCTTCGCCTCACAATACGCAATTAGATGGTGGTCGGATGATTTTGCTTTTCTTAAGGCTTCCCAAGTAACAGATGATCAAGGATGATTGTCACGAATTCCCTTTTCCCATGGCCGACCGCTGCTGGTGAGTTGCCACTCGCTGTCCACGGCCGTCGCCTGAGGCATCCAGCAAAGCAAAGCAGCTTTCGGCAGGTCCTCTTGGCAACCGCACTCGGCGGCATGTTTACTTCTACTCCGTAACTACGACTTACAAAGTACGCGGGCATAGCGCCGAGATAGCATCAGAATTACAACCGCGATGTCTTTGCTTGATAGTCATCTGGAGCAGATTCTGCTCTCCTCCAATGCCATTGCTGAACTACCGTTAGTACCCTCCATCCCAGGATTCCAGCAACTTGCTAATCGATCCCCTCCAGCTTTCCCCCACCACGGATCTTCACAAACGCTCTCTTGGGCCCCCACGACATCACCGCTCTTATTCGCGATACAGAGACCCACGAACGAGCTCTTTTCCAAACAGACCCCTCTGTGAAGGCAATCAATGCTTCACAACGTCGGTCAACCCGCCGAGGAACAGTATTCCCATCTGAGACAGAGGGAGAGTCAATGGCCAGTCGGATTTATGCAGCCAGGAATAACAAAAACCAATCCGCTGTTGCAAGAGTCTTGGGGTCGGATATGATGGAGGAAATCAAACGCTCAGCAGGCACTTCATCTAGAGGGCGCGGCGAAGTCGATGTTGACGTGCTTCTCCGAGGCGCAGAAATCCTCTGCAACGTCTAGTAAGTAACTATAGCTTCACTCTTCTGGCTTGTAGTGCATGCTTACTGATCTGTCTCGAAGCCCGGTCTCGGGGGCACAAGAAAAGATCGCGAGTCTCCGATATCGTCATCAACTGATTACTGACTCGATTCTCGACCTAGAGGATCGGGTAGCGAGAAATACCTCAGAGCTGGAGAAGATGAGCCACTCATACGGAAGCGACTTTGACGATTATGATTCTTCAGGCACACTGCAACCAAATATAGCCGATGTAACAGATGCCGATATTCAGCAAGAAATGGATGAGATCCGAGAGCTAGAGAAAAGGAAGAGAACATTAGAAACCCGCGTTAGCGGTATGGAACGAGACTTGGGTGGCTTGATTGGATGATTGGCTCTTTACGCTCTGTTTCTATGACTCAGATATCATGCAAGGGACACAGATCGTAAGTCTTAGCCGACCGTTGATCTCTGTCAAATTTCTGCCACGAGCTGCAAGCCCCTGCAGTGAACCTTGCCTGACTCCGACGGTTCGATATTCCCTCTGGGACTCGTTCCGCGTTGAGTTCACATACGGTATCGGCAAGATACGGCACTTTAATCCGGTGAACTCATTCTGGGTCTGGCAAACATGCCACAGATGAACTCCTTGAACGACTTGTCCAGCGTTACAGGTTTCGGCTACCATGGGGATGCGATCGTTGCGCGGGTTACAGTGTCAAATCTGCTTGGAATCATATTGTCGGTTTGCCCAATCGCTGAGATTCCCATTCCAATCTCAGTGCTAGGCCCGGCCTATGACGACTCGCGTCAAGCTTGCGAGACGAATGGGATGCTTTGATACACCGCTTGTCGGGTCGTTCTCCTACCTATTGGCCCTGATATGTGATTCATAGCAAGGTGATTGCCGATCGGTTCTTTGGTAGCCTTGCCATTTTGCTGGACCAGTGGAATATCGTGCTCTCTAGAGGGTTTCCTACTGTGCTCGTCATCAAGAGCTCGGGCTGATAGCCGCTTTGTGGAGTCCGTATTATTACATTAGTGTTGCCATCTCTGACGACCTGGTAGTCTCACCAATGCAACTATCTCCATGAGGGTTGTAGTACAGGACAATAATTATTGTGCAGACGAACATCGAAAGATAGCACATTCACTTCTGTTGCCAGGAGCATTTATAGTATTTGCTAATGAATTTTGGATGATTTACAATCTGGGTTCGAGGTCTTAGAAAGTAGGATTCGAGTAAATGTATGACACAGGGAAAGAGAAAGCAGAAATCTTTGACGGTACTACTAGTATAAGGAAAAAGGAAGAAGAAGATTATATGATGATCGCCTGCAACAGGTGATACCAAGTCACTGGACCCCAGATTACCGCTTTGGGAGCAACACTGACTGCCAAGACGTGAAGACCTGAGGCTCCCAAACTCTCCGCCATCCATCGTTGATTCTGAGCCTGAATCGTTCGTTCAATCTCTCCCTTCTGACGGGGACTGCAGTGTTTTCTGCCAGCTATCGCCCCTCACGCCATTTGACTTGACCTCTGCCAACGCCTGCCCGGTCGCTTCGTGGCCTCATCCACGTAGCTTAACGATTCAACTGTCGCGCGGATTCAACCCATCATTCCCTTGTTTTCGGGGTTACATCGACCTTCGGCCCACCCATATCGATAGTAACCCATACGTTCGCTTCCGCTCTGTGTCAGGTTTATTATCGAGAGGATGGACGGCTCACAGGTTCCTGCGGCTCAGCCCATGGTTACCCAACACTCGAATTTGATCCGGACCGATCAAGTCCAGAAGCTCCCTCATCTCACCGAGCAACAGAAGAGTCAACACACCCAACTGGTGCGCAACTTTTGGGAGGTCCTCAATAACCGCGACCCTCAGAGCACAGAATATCAGCACGCGCACTCGAGGCTTACCCAGATATCACAAAGTCTGATGAAGGGTATGCGAGCATTCCAGCAGAACCGCCAGCTCCAGCAACAACAGCTCCAGGGCCAGCCTGGTCAGCCCGGCCAGCGGCCGCAGTCGGTCAACCCTCAGACCTTCAATCAGCTCCTACCTCAGATCCAACAAAAAGTCAACAGTCTGCAATTCTCTCTTCCTCCCAATATCAGCCAGGAACAAGCGCAGTCATGGCTTCCGGAGGCCAGGTTACGATACGGCATTGCGCTGCAGAAGCAAGAGATCGGCAGGGCGCGCGTAGCGGAGCTACGTCAGCAGTTTAGCCAGCGCCAGACTGCCGGAAATATGACCCAGGAGGAGCTACAGGAATTCAAAAATCGGCAGCTTGCGGCAGAGAAGCTTTACCGAGAAGGGGGTGACTTCTTGACCAAGTTCAAAGAGCAGCAAGAAAACTTCAAGGCGCAGCAACAGAGGGCAGGCGTACAGAACGTTACAGGTCAACCACAAGGTGCCAGTGTCACACCAGCTCCCACTGTCCCTGCTGGTTCGGATGGTCGCCCCGCAAACACACCCGTGTCAATGCATCCTGGTCAGGCCCCAACACCTGCCCCTCATACTATCACTTCTGCGGTAAGTGCCGCACGAAGCCAAGCTGGCCAGACAGCTATGTCACCGTCAGTCTCCCAACAAGGCCAAGTGCCCGTTGCACAGGCGGCCCCGGTGGCCACTCCTGCCGCTCCTGCCGCACCACCAGTCGTTCCTCCCCAAGCGCAGTCGCAGTCGCAGCCGCAGCCGCAGCAGCAGCAGCATCCGCAACCACAACCGCAGGCCCAGCCTCAGCCAGGAGCACCTGGCTCACAGGTCACCTTCACGCAAGTACCTAACTTGGACGGCTCTACGCCTACGCCTACCACAGCTCAGCCAGTTAATGTGCAAGGGCCCCCACGTCCTTTGTCCCAACAAGCTGCTATGGCTCAGGCTGCTCAAAACTATACCAATAATAACGCAAACAACAACATGGGCCAACAGCAAAACATGCCACAGCCTGCGACCAATTCACATGCGCATCCTCAGGGCTATATTCCCAACAGAGCCACTGATAACTCGGCACGAAACATCAATATGGCCATTCCAAAAACCCTGAATGTCCCTCCTCCGGAGCCTGTCACTATGGCGCCAGCGCGGCCAACCATGTCAGGTGGTCCCAGCCACGGCGCTATGGGTATGATGGGTCAGCCTGCGATTCAAAAACACCCGGGGTACGTCCTTGAAGGCGAAGGCCAGCGAGTCCTGAGCAAGAAGATGCTTGACATCTTGGTTCGCCAGGTGACTGGGGGAGGAGAGGGTGAGGGACTCACTCCAGATGCTGAAGACGTACGTTGTTTACCCCCTTGAACGTCACTAATAAACCCCGGTCGCCTTTTATATGAGACTCATCTAACATTAATCAGTTCATCCTCCAAATGGCCGATGACTTCGTTGACGACGTGATTACCGCTGCCTGCCGTCTCGCCAAACTACGTCCGTCATCTACCCTCGAGATCCGCGATATTCAGCTTGTTCTCGAACGTAACTACAACATGCGCATTTCTGGATTCTCGACTGATGATCTTCGCACCGTCAAGAAGCCTCAGCCCACACAAGGCTGGACCCAGAAGATGTCCGCCATCCAAGCTGCCAAAGTGACACAAGGCAAGGCTGAATGATTTCTGCATCTACTGCGCTTCCCCTCTTTCCGCCTTCGCAGTCATCGTCTCCAATCGGGGTTATGCGCCTTCAGTGATAACCTACGTGTCAAACGCCTCCTCACTCAGTTGCCCTACTTCTTTAATCTTCTAATAAATTGTCTTAACACCACCGTTCTCACATTTATTCCCCCAACTTTTCACTTTACAATTCGGTAGTTGGCGTCACTGGGTGGCTTTTTCTTCATTTGCTCTGCTTGCCGTTGCTTTTGTCGTTTTACACTTGTTCCACTGGG